CTAGTCATTTCAGTATGATATATTCGTAGGCGATTGAGAGAAAATAATAATACTGTACTATTAAAATATCTACATTGAAAGAATGAAATTGATCACATAATTTTTATTTTTTGTCTAAAATAATAGTTCTCAACCTGGGTAATGTTTAGAGGTTAATTTAAATGCAATAAACAATTGGCAACTTTTCAATTGGCCAAAACTGAACCAGGTGCTAACCATTGACGCATGGCAATGTTTTTCTTCCAACATATTGGGCATTATAAGGAATGAACGACTCTATAAAGTTGTCTTTTTCCCCTCCTTTCATATTGTTTAATTATTGATGATATGTAAGTTGCTCCCCCATTCCTGTCTGTTTGTTTGAGTGGATGTTATTTTATTTCTAAAGACTGTAAGGAGTTGAAACTCTGGCCTAAGGCACTCACTTTCCATGATCTAACAAGATGATTAATACAAATGAGTTTTAGAGCTACATTAGTATCCTATATTGGTAAACATGGAATAGTTGATGCATTTTCAATGTTAATTTTTTTTTTTTTTTTTTTTTTACAGGACTGGTTGGGCAAGAAAACCTGACAGACTGTTGGTATGGGGGGAGTGAGAGGAAGGGCTTTTACAGGTTGTAAAAAGATGTTACACTTGGAATGTACAAAATAAAATAGCCTTCACACTGTTACACAATTCTAGGTGTAATATTTATTTGTGGTATTATTGTTAAATAAAATTTAAATTGAATAAAATATAGAATTTTTCTGGCCGGCATCCAGAGCAACAGTGGTGCCCGCATCCTGGGTGCTGGAGGACTCAAGGCTTCAATGGAAGACTACTGAGGAATATCGCACTTATCCAGTCGGAAGTGGAGTGGCGAGCAAGCGAAGACACCTAAGCGGGTCCAGTACTGGCGGAAGCGAGTACGTGAGAGGGCACCGGTTCGACTCGCAGATTGTAGAATCTGGCGAAGGTGTTTGGTGTCGCCCAGCCTGCAGCTCTGCAGATGTCTGTTAGCGAGGCGCCATGCGCTAGAGCCCAAGAGGAGGCCACACTCCGAGTGGAAAGGGCCGTCACACCAAGGGGGCACGGACAGCCTTGCTGCTGGTAAGACAAAGCAATGGCGTCCACTATCCAGTGAGACAGCCGTTGCTTTGAGAGAGCCCTTCCCTTCTGGCTCCCCCCATGACAGACAAAGAGCTGGTCTGAGGTCCTGAAACACCGCGTTCTGTCGACGTAGGTGCGGAGTGCACGTACCGGACAGAGCAGTGCCAAGGCTGGGTCTGCCTCCTCCAGGGGCAGCGCTTGCAGGTTCACCACCTGGTCCCGGAAGGGAGTGGTGGGAACCTTGGGCACGTATCCAGGCCGGGGTCTCAAGACAACGTGAGAGTAAGCCGGCCCGAACTCCAGGCACGCTTCGTCAACGGAGAATGCGTGCAGGTCCCCCACCCTCTTGATGGAGGCCAATGCAACCAGGAGTGCCGTCTTCATAGACAGAAACTTTAACTCTACCGATTGCAAAGGCTCAAAGGGAGGCCTCTGCAGAGCACTTAAAACTACTGAGAGGTCCCAAGAGGTTACGAGACGAGGACGAGGCGGATTTAGCCTCCTCGCTCCCCTCAGGAACCTGATGACCAGGTCGTGCTTCCCAATGGACTTACCTTCTACTGCATCATGAGACACGGCAATGGCCGCGACATAGACCTTAAGGGTGGAGGGCGACAGCCTACGCTCCAACCCCTCCTGCAGAAAGGAAAGCACGACACTGATCGAGCAACTCCGGGGGTCTTCTCCGCGAGAAGAGCACCAGTTGACGAAGAGGTTCCACTTCAACGCATAAAGGTGTCTCGTGGACGACGCTCTAGCGGAAGTGATGGTTGCCGAACTCAGACCTGCCTCGTCACGTCCGGGAGCCACACGTGTAGCCTCCAAAGTTCGGGACGAGAGTGCCACAGAGTGCCTCGTCTCTGAGTGAGTAGATCCTGTCTCAGAGGAATAGGCCAAGGAGGTGCTGTCGCGAGGAGCATGAGTTCGGAGAACCACGTCCTGGTGGGACAATAAGGGGCTACCAGCAAGACCTGCTCCTCGTCCTCCTTGATCTTGCACAACACCCGTGCAAGGAGGCTCAATGAGGGAAACGCATACTTGCGTGGGCCCCGAGGCCAGCTGTGCGCCAGTGCATCTGTGCCGAGTGTGCCCTCGGACAGGGTGTAAAACTGGACGCAGTGGGATGAGTCCCGGGAGGCAAACAGGTCTATCTGAGCCTCCCCGAACTGGTCCCAGATCAGCTGGACCGTCTGGGGATGGAGTCGCCATTCGCCGGAGATAGGGCGGATCCGAGACAGCTCGTCGGCTGCCAGGTTCCGGTCTCCTGGAATGTACACAGCACGAAGGGACCTCAGGTGCTTCTGACTCCATAGCAAGAGGTGGCAGGCGAGCTGCGACAACTGGCGCGAGCGTAGACCCCCCTGGTGGTTGATGTACGCTACAGCAGTGGTGTTGTCTGAACGGACAAGTACATGTTGACCCTTGAGCAGTGCTCGAAAGAGGTGCAGGGCCAGGCGTACTGCCAACAGCTCGAGGCAATTGATGTGCATGAGGCGCTGGGGTCCTGTCCAGGAACCCGCGGCTGCATGCCCATTGCACATGGCACCCCACCCGTGGTGGACGCATCCGTGGAGACAACGAGATGCCTGGAAGCTTGCTGGAGCGGGACACCGGCCCGCAAAAAGCTGAGGTTCAACCACGGGGAGAAGGTACGGCGGCACGCTGGAGTCACTGGAACTCAAAGCGAGCCGCGATGCCATGCCCACCTCGGGACTCGATCGCGAAGCCACAGCTGAAGTGGTCTCATATGAAGCAAACCGAGCGGCGTTACCGCGGCCGCGGATGCCATATGCCCCAGGAGCCTCTGAAAGAGTTTCAGTGGAACCACATTCTTGCCTTCGAACTGTCGAAGACAAGTCAGCAGTGAGTGCGCGCGCTCGTTCGTGAGCTGCGCGGACATGGCGACCGAGTCTATCTCCATGCCGAGAAAAGAGATCCTCTGCACGGGGCAAAGTTTGCTCTTCTCCCGTTTGACCCGAAGGCCCAGCCGGGCTAGAGCACCAGGTCTCTGTGCTCGCAAACCTGTTCTCGAGAGTGTGCCAGAATCAGCCAATCGTCGAGGTAGTTCAGGATGCGAACCTCGACAATCTTCGTGAAGACGCGAGGAGACAGAGCTAACCCGAATGGGAGAACCGTGTACTGATATGCCTGGCCTTCGAAGGCAAACCGAAGAAACGGTCTGTGTCGAGGCAATATGGAGACATGAAAGTACGCGTCCTTCAGGTCGATCGCTGCAAACCAATCCTGAGGCCGTATACATTCGAAAATGCGTTTGGCTGTGAGCATTTTGAACGGTAGCCGGTGAAGAGCACGGTTCAAAATGTGCAGATCCAGGATCGGTCGTAACCCACCAGTCTTCTTGGGCAGTAGCGGTTCTAGGCACGGGCGAACCGGGCAGTCGCCCGGGGCGGCATTTCTTCATGTCACGTGGGGGGCGGCACGAGCAGTTAAAAAAATCCTCTGTGCCGCAAAGTTTTTCTATTTTTTATAATTTCGATTCAATTATTGGCAATGGCGCCCTGCTTGCTGAGAAGGTGCCGTGCGCAGAAGCGAGGGGATCAAGGGGATCTCCTGATTAGTTCACGTATCGCGTCTTTTGCGCGCTCGAGGTTGTTATTTCAAATCCTCTATGTTTCAAATAGGCGCACGGGAAGCGCGCTCATTATGCGGTCACTGGAAGCGCGCTCATGAACTTTTCAGTATGGGAGTGCACGTGCACCCAAACACTTGGGTGTTTTCTCTTCTCCGTAAATAAATCTTTCAGCAGAGCTACAGCAAGCGTTTTTCTGTGGTGGAAATACTACTAAAACATCTTTGTCGTTGTGGATAGCGCAGTGTAATGAGTGCATGGTTCTATTGCAACGACAGCCATGGCAAAATCGGTACGAATTTTACTATTAATAATAAAAGAAAAGCTATACTGTGCATTATAAATGTCAGGCATGTATCTTTATTGACTCATTCTTTTTATAGAGATGATTTGAATGCTGAAATATAAGGTTTATCTTTTTATAAAACCTTTTTGTTAACCTTTTTTTTAAGTTTAGTAGGTAAGATAAAAGACACTCCTTAAAAACAAATCTTTAATGTTATTAACTATGTGAATTGATTAACTATGTGAATTGGGGCGCTCGAAGGGGGTCTCGCCCTGGGTGTAATTCAAAGTAGAACCGCCACTGTTCTTGGGGACAATGAAGTAGGGGCTGTAAAACCCTGACCTCACCTCGGCTGGAGGGACCGTCTCGATTGCACCCTTCGCCAGCAGGGTTGCAATCTCCGCTCTGATGACCGGGGCATTGCCACCGACCAAAGTGGAGCGAACTCCCCTGAAACGGGGAGGAGACCGTGCGAACTGAATCGCGTAGCCGAATCTGATCGTTCTGATGACCCAGCGGGACAGCCCGGGGAGCTCTAGCCAGGCTCCCAGGAAGTGAACTAGCGGGGTCATGCGAACCACAGACGTCCCCCCGGAGGGGCAGCGGGGCGGGGAGACTGGCATGCGCTCGGGAATTACCCCGTGCGGATGCACAGTCGAGCCCCGTTCCCCGACAGAAGGGACCAGGGAAGGACCAGCGTTCCACTGGGGTCTGTTCTGTCGGGGGTCTGGCGAGAGAGGGGGAGGGGAGGTGCGTAGTCGAGGGACGACACACGCTTCCTTCCACACCCTCAGGGACAGAGAGGAATGAGAGGGTCGCCGCGCTGGGGCGACGAGCGTACTCATTCCAGTCTGTGTGCTCAGTGATGATGTTAAGTCTTTCTTTCACCAACTCAGGGTGCTGCCCACCCGTGGGTGAGCAGCGGGGAGCTGAGAACAAAAGATTCTCCCCCGGCCCTCCACCGGGGGAAGGAGGGGGCCTGCTACCTCCTCCTGGGAAACACTGAACTTCATCACTGAGCAGCCCGTCTCAGGAACGCCGCTTCGCCTGGCGCTTAGCGGGGCGCGCGGCCTGAGGGGGCTGCGACGCATGCCTGCAGCCTCCTCCACGCCGCGTCACGGGTGAAGGGGGGCGTCCTCGGCGGCGAGCAGAGGGAGGCGTCTGGGCCGACGGCTGGGTGGAGGCAGCAGCTGACCGTCGGGGCAGAATATGTTTGATGGCCTCCGTCTGCTTCTGGGCGGTCGAAAACTGCTGGGCAAAGTCTTCAACCGCACCGCCGAACAGGCCAACCTGGGAGAGAGGGGCGTCGAGCAGACGTGTCCGCTCAGCGTCCTTTGTGTCTGCCAGGTTGAGCCATAGGTGGCGCTCCTGGACCACGCTAGTGGCCATCACCTGCCCAACGGAGCGAGCAGCCATTTTCGTCGCCCGGAGGACGAAGTCAGTGGCCGCTCGCAGCTCATTAAAAGCCACTGGATCAGTCCCGCCCTCGTGCATGTCCCTGAGCAGTTTTGCTTGAAACACTTGCAAAGTGCTCATGGCATGCAAAGCAGCGGCTGCCTGTCCCGCCGCTCTATAGGATCTATGATTTGTCTAAATAGTTTTGGCTGAGGGTAAAGTAAAGTTTCATAACTTTATATTTAGGCTATTTTAACATTGTATGTTTGACTGAAGCTACTTCTGTTATAATGGCTAGCCTATTACTGATCAATAAAACTGAAATTTAACACAAAGAGCTAAATATTAAATATATTTTCTGTGTGTGTTTATTCTGTAGTTGAAATGTCTTATTCTATTGCTATTATTATAGAATTATTAATAAACTATTATCAATAATTTTACATGTATTCATTACCATTTTATTTGCTCTATACTATTTGTTTATTGTATTGACTAAACTATTTACTAGTACTTTTCACTTTATGTTATAATTACTATTTGCATTGCACTGCATGCCCAGTTGTACCACAACATATGTATTATCATAAAGGATCCATCAGTTATAAATGTTATTGCCAAAATCTGGTCAATCACATAAAATGCTTTTTCCACAATGAGAAAACTTAAATATCTCAGTATGGGGATCTTCACCATTCTTATCCAAGAATGTTTTTATCCAGAAAAACGCAGCTCACCTGTTTACTTACATTTAATTACAATGCAGTCTTGACCTCCGCAAAATGGCGGACCCGTTGACGCATCGCAGCAACGTTCCAAAGCGGCCAATAGGGCGTCTATGTATATATTATGTCTATGGTTCCAATCACCTGGATTTGCTAATTCAGACAGGAGACAGAACTAATTAATGAAATCAGCTAACTGAGATCATGGGTGGAATTAACATATGGCAGGACTTTTACTCTCTGACCCCTGGATTACCCAGCCCTGAGTTGATCTTGTCTCTGTTTCCCTCTGCTGGACAGGTCATGGTGTGACAGGAGGCATCAACTTTCATTTGATCTTAATAGTATTTGAAACTGTTCTGCCTTAAATTATCAACTATATGTCATTTAAAGAGAATACTCTAAGTCTAATGCATATTGTTTGATTGTTGTGATTAATTTCAACTTTAACAAAAATGTTTAAGTCATATTAAATAATCAGGTTTGACTCACCAATCAGAGGGATTTTTTGAGCCGTAGAGGGCAGTGTGTTACTAAGAATCAGCAGCATCACAGAAATAGACAGCAGTAAAGTCACTTTAAAGCTCAACTTGTCACATCCATCAATGAACAAGGAGGCCACATCCAGAATGAGGAACAAAAATACCGGTAGTATAATGTTTATGACATACAGTAGAGGTCTCCTTTTAATGTTAATCTGTCAGAGAGAGAGAGAGAGAGAGAGAGAGAGAGAGAGAGAGAGAGAGAGAGAGAGAGAGAGAGAGAGAGAGAGAGAGAGAGAGAGAGAGAGAGAGAGAGAGAGAGAGAGAGAGAGAGAGAGAGAGAGAGAGAGAGAGAGAGAGGAGAGAGAGAGAGAGAGAGAGAGAGAAATTATGCAATTTAACACTGGGAACACTAAGATAATTTATAAATATTCACCATAAATCAAGACGTGTTAAATAGAGACAGAAGCAAGAAAACTAATAAAATATTCTATTCAAGTAAAAGTACTATAAATTAAACTTTACTTAAGTACAAACCAAATTAGGTAACACTTTATAATAACTGCACGCTATTAATAATTAGATAAGCATGAGTAAACAGTTAATTCATCATTTATTAAGCATTAATAGACATTAATAAGCAGTTTATAAATACAGCTATAAATGCTTTCCTCTTGATTTATAAGCATATCTTTAATGCATTTAATAATTGTATTTTCATACTTTGTTAATGATCAAGTAATCATTTCTAAATTAAGTATAGCATTATTTACAAACCAGTTAATTAAGAGTTGTCAGTCATTTATAAGATCACTTAGAAAGTGTAAGTAAATGTAGTAAATATAGGTTGTTATAAAGCTTTTAGTAGTGGTCAGTTAACTATTTTGTGAGCTCATCTAAAGTGAGGACTATTCATGCCTTGTAAAGCATTTATAAAGGAGATTTAAAGGCGCATCAATCTTCTAAACAGTAAAATGTAACAAGCACAACACACCCTGCGTCCCAATTCGCATACTATCCGTCCTAAATAGTATTCGAAAATAGAATTAGTACGTCCCAAATCGTAGTATGTTGAAATGAGTGTTTCAAAGATACCCGGATGGTCTACTTTTTCCGGTCGGAATCCGAAGTGTAGATCGATGCGCACTCTAACGGCTGATATTGCCCACAAACCATTGCTCGTTGAACGAGGATTCGGTTAGAAGTACAAACACGATTAAAAAGTGTTAAAAAAACTACAGACACGTAGTCGAAACGGAGGACGCGCGAGTCCCCGCGGTTGTGTAGAGAGGTTTAGATTAAGAGCTTTGAGTGATTAATTATCACTATCTAACCTGACGAAAATGAATTTATTCAATGTTGTACACATTATATTGCATTTGCAGCAGCATTGTGAACTTTTGTAAAGACACGTTTAGCCATTACGTTTTAAATGCATCATTATATTCAAATTGCAAACACACGAGGAGAGCATGAAAGACCCACAACTGGCAGATGAACGCCCTCTCCGAAACGGTAGGAAATAAAATTAGATAGAATGGAGGATTTTAACTGTGACAAGATGATTGACAGGGCAGTTTACGGTGACAGGATGCACGCAGCACGCAACAGAGCCGTCCGTTAAAGATGACGTGATAGTATGTCCCAAAGCTTGCCTACTCTTTTGCTACACACTCAAAAGTATGTACTTTTTCCTCACAAAAAGAGTACATACTTTTAGGACGTAGTATAAGTAAGCGAATTGGGACGCAGCATCAGTGATACAGAACATAGAGATATTTAACAGCCTTTAAATCTCCTTTATAAATGCTTTACAAGGCATGAATAGTCCTCACTTTAGATGAGCTCACAAACATAGTTAACTGACCACTACTAAATGCTTTATAACTACCCGAATTAACCCTGAATTACAGCATAAATACATGTTGATAAAGCATTTATTAACACACTCAGTAACCATCACTATATGTCTGAATGATAAGATGTATGAATGTACAATTTAAATAGTTTATTAATCATTTACTTACACGCACTAAGTAATCGTATGAACCACTGAAAACTTTTAAATAACTGGTTAATAAAAAAATTGCAATTCTTTATTTAGAAATGATAAATTGATCATTAAAAAGGATAAAAATAGAATTATTAAACAAATTATAGATATGCTTTTAAATAAAGAATAAAGCATTTATAGCTGTATTTATGAACTGCTTATTAATGTATATTAATGCTTTATTAATGATGAATTAACTGTTTACTCATACTTAATTATTATAAAGTGTTACCAACCTGGCCTGAGATTTTTTTTTTTCTCACACACAACAAGAACTATGTTTGTATGCACTTTAGTATGTTGGTTGTCTTTACATTAGAACAATAATGTTTCATAAATCTAGATTAAAAGAATAAAATACATTACAAAATGATATGTCTCATACTGCGGGTTATCTAGCCTTTATCCTACATGTGATCATCACAAATATTTTTTTTTTAATTACACTAGGCTATTTTGCTTTAAGATAATGATTTTACTTTCAATCTTTTTAGGCATAGTTTACTGTAGGAAGTATTATTTCACATAACTTTAATTTGACTTTATTGACGTTTTCATTTCCGGATAATTATCAGTATTTCTATTTATTAAAAATAAACAAATTCCAATTTGCAAATGTGCTTACTGCATATATATATATATATATATATATATATATATATATTCCGTCTTTTAAACTTTTGCTCAACGTGCATGCAGTGTAAGTAATAGTAATAGTCCAAATAGTATAGTCTAATGGTACCGCCCATGGAGCAAATTACAAGACAAAAATTAGAAAATCAGTTAGATTTCATTTATTCAAATGTTTGTTTCTGAAGTCATAATTTAGCACAAGTAAAATTGAAAAAAAGGGAGAAAAAGTTAACTATCCATTGATAATGTATAACTGGAAAAACAAGAAAAATGAATGTCTGGTTTCCATTTTTCATTTTTGCATTTGCATTGTATGGTCCGAAAATTGAATTGTGAAGCGTTACACGGACCGACTCTGTGTTCTGTACCTGATATATCAGCTGATCCAAATCAATCCACTTAGTGATGGTAGAAGTAGTGTAATTTATACTGAGGAGCTCCCACTCTCCCTGGGCCTGAAAGAGCTCATGTGATGAACCGGTGATCAAAGTTTGATTAGTTATTGGTCGAATTATAATCTCCCGCTCTGTGGGAACAAACATTAAAATTGTGTTTCATATTACAGTCAAATAGTTTAGAAGAATAAACTATGTTATCTTGTGTTTGTTTGTTAAAACTGATTAATGCGTTTCAGACGTACTTGAATATGATGTAGACTGAAATGTTATATTGCAGCTTTGGGAGTCAAAGGGAAACCTGTATAGATCCATCTTACAGGCCGTGGTCAGAGATAAAAAGTCAACTGAGGCTGTAATGCCGGAACTGAACAACACCACATTTGGAGAATCCTTTGTTCCAAAATCTGTCTCGATGCTAAATGGATAAAAAATAAATGAACTCTGATTAATAAAGACATGATGATTTAAGACAGCAGGTATTAAAATCAAAAGTAACTTGCACACTACTGATTAATCAGCAAACCAAGAGCTCTATCTCATTTTGAAGGCTGCACTGGAGGCCGCATTTGTCGGCCACATACCTCACAGAAGCTTCAAATACATGATTTATTAAAAAATGGTGACAGCTGCACTTTCAATAGTAAGTCATGTTTATTTTTAAGCCCTGTTTCCTCAGTAGAGTGTAGTAAGCAAGATTTTTAACCGTTCAAAAACGCAGGACTGTGTTTATTTATTTTTTTAATTATTGGATTGAAGATTATAGGTTACTCACAAAACGTCTCGGTTACGTATGTAACCCTCAGGGAACGGAGACGTTACGTCGGATGACGGAGAATGGGGGTTTCGCCTAGAAAGGCGAATACTCTTCGAGTATTAAAAAATGAGCCAATGGCAAAGAAATGCCTTGGGTCTGCGGAATTTGCATAGCATATCTCCGCCTCACCCCGTGAGTATAAAAGGAGGAAGCGGACGCAACCGCAGTATGTCTTCGCTGAGGAGCCGAGACTGAACTCGGGTATCTACCCAGCGGTACAGCGGAAGTGGCAGGGAGACGTGACGTCTCCGTTCCCTACTCAGGGAATGAGGGTTACACATGTAACCGAGACGTTCCCTTTCATAGTCACTCTGAGTTACGTCGAATGACGGAGAATGGGGTTCCCCTGTATAATCACGCCACCTTCACAGCTGTCTTCCAGTGCCCTGCGAAAGTCTGATCCCCTGTCGTGAACTTAGCACGGACGAGGAGTCCTATTTAGCACAGGAATACCAAGGTACACTGCGGAGCATATCTCAAAGGAAATATGCCACAGTATGCCTACCCGTAGGGAGGACTTAAGAATACACATACGGCCCAAGGGGGCTGCATATGGAGGAACACTGGAGTCACCAACCCGTAGGGTGGCTAGAATTTTAACTCCAGGGGTGGCAAGGTGGCTTGCTGATGGAAGACACAAGCTCAGAAAGGCTTACAGTGGAAATACACGTGGAGGTTACTAGCAGGAACCATGCACACGGAGGCACCTAGCCGACGTCCAGGCAAAGACACTGGCGCCAGCATCAACAGTGCTGGAGGAACTCAGGGCTTCAATAGAAGGCTCAGCTGAGGAATAATCGCACTTATCCAATCCGTGAAGTGGAATGGCGAGCAAGCGAAGACACCGAATGAGTTGGGTGTCGCCCATCCTGCAGCTCTGCAGATGTCTGCTAGCGAGGCGCCATGTCACAACAAGGGGGCACGGTCGACCTTGCTGCTGGTAAGTCAAAGCAAAGGTGTCCACTATTCAGTGAGACAACCTCTGCTTTGAGAGAGCCCTTTCCTTCTGCTCCCACCATAACAGACAAAGAGCTGGTCTGAGGTCCTGAAACACCACGTTCTGTCTACGTAAGCATGGAGGGCGCGTACTGGACAGAGGCTGGGTCTGCCTCCTCCAGGGGCAGTGCTTGCAGGTTCACCACCTGGTCCTGGAACGGAGTGGTAGGAACCTTGGGTACATATCCAGGGCGGGGTCTCAGGATCACGTGAGAGTAGGCCGGCCCGAATTCCAGGCACGCTTCGTCAACGGAGAATGCGTGCAGGTCCCCTACCCTCTTGATGGAGGCCAGTGCAACCAGGAGCGCTGTCTTAAGAGACAGTAACTTAATCTCGACTGATTGCAGAGGCTCAAAAGGAGGCCTCTGCAGGGCGCTTAAAACCACTGAGAGATCCCAAGAGGATACGAGAGGAGGGCGAGGAGGATTCAATCTCCTTGCTCCTCTCAGGAACCTGATGATCAGGTCGTGCTTCCCCAGGGACTTACCTTCAACTGCTTCGTGATATGCGTCAATGGCAGCCACATACACCTTCAGGGTGGAGGGAGACAGCCTTCGCTCCAAACTTTCTTGCAGGAAGGAAAGCACAACACTGATCGAGCATCTCCGGGGGTTTTCTCAGTGAGAAGAACACCAGTTGACAAAGAGGTTCCACTTCAACGCATAGACGTGCCTCGTGGACGACGCTCTAGTGGAAGTGATAGTAGCCGCCACAGAAGGTGGCAGGGTACTCAAACCTGCCTCAACCCATCCAGGAGACACACATGTAGCCTCCAGAGATCGGGGTAAGGGTGCCACAGGGTGCCCCGTCTCTGAGAAAGGAGGTCCTTCCTCAGAGGATTTGGCCAAGGAGGTGCTGTCATGAGGAGTATCAGTTAGGAGAACCAGGACTTGGTGGGCCAGAATGGGACAACCAAAATTACCTGCTCCTCGTCCTCCTTGATCTTGCACAGAGTACGTGTGAGAAGGCTCACTGGGGGAAACGCATATTTGTGTAGGCCCCGCGGCCAGCTGTGCGCCAGTGCGTCTGTGCCGAGCGTGCCCTCGGTCAGAGAGTAATACAGGGCACAATGGGATGAGTCGTGGGAGGCAAACAGATCTATCTGTGCGTCCCCGAACTGGTGTCACCATTCACCAGAGACTGGACGGAGCCGAGACAGCTCGTCGGCTGCACAGTTCCGCTCTCCTGGAATGTGGATAGCACGAAGGGACCTCAGGTGCTTCTGACTCCATAAGAGGAGGTGACGTGCGAGTTGCGACATACGGCGAGAGCGTAGACCCCCCTGGTGGTTGATGTACGCTACTGTCGCGGACTAGTACGTGACTAGACTAGTTGTCTGAACGGACTAGTACGTGTTGACCCCTGAGCAACGCATGGAAGCGGTGCAGGGCAAGATGTACTGGCAGCAACTCGAGGCAATTGACATGCATGAGGCACTGGGGTCCTGTCCAGGAGCCCGCGGCTGCATGCCCATTGCACATGGCGCCCCAACCCATGGCAGAGGAATCTGTGGAGACAACAATATGCCTGGAAACTCGCTCTAGGGGAACACCGGCCTGTAGAAGCTGATGTTCTTCCACGGGGTGAAGGTCTGAGTCACTGGAACTCTGAGCGTACCGTGATACCATGCCCACCTCGGGGCTTGATCGCGAAGCCACAGCTGAAGTGGTCTCATATGAAGCAATCCGAGTAGCGTTGCCGCGGCTGTGGATGCCATATGCCCCAGGAGCCTCTGAAAAAGTTTCAGTGGGACCGCACTCTTGCCCTCGAACTGTCGAAGACAAGTCAGCAGTGGGTGTGCGCGCTCGCTCGTAAGCTGCGCGGACATGGCGACCGAGTCTATCTCCATACCGAGAAAAGAGATCCTCTGCACGGGGCAAAATTTGCTCTTCTCCCAGTTGACCCGAAGGCCAAAACGGGCTAGGTGCCGGAGCACAAGGTTCTTTTCATATTTGGTGGGTGTCTGGTGTGTCTGGATCAGAATTCCCCACAGATAATTTTGAACGTTGGAATGGTCATTTCGAAGATCATTAAGCATATCTTTCTGTCTATCCCTTTGGATGCGGCAGGGCAGCTACTCCCGGCACAGGGGCGGGAGTTTTAACACCCTGTTCCCTTTCGTAGTCACTTCGAATTACGTCAGAAGTGACGGAGATTGGGGGATTTCGCATAGAAAGCCAATCCTCTTCGAGTATTTAAACACGAGCCAATGGCATGCAATGCCTTGGGGCTGCGGAAATTTGCATAGCGTACTCCGCCCTACTCCGTGAGTATAAAAGGAGGAAGTGAACGCAATCGCAGTATGTTTTCGCTTCGGAGCCAAGAGAACCTCTTCACTCCTGAAAGCTATTACAAGACTCTTTGAGACGAGCGTCCTCTTCAGTGTTGGTGTGATGGCGGTACCCAGCGAGTTTCTGCATTGCCTGCGATCTGTGCAGTGGTCTGCCAGACTTTGCGCTTCTCCCTGGTCGCTTCAGCGCTGAAAGAGTGAATTTCCTCCTCTCTGTGAAAGAGCTACACGCGGCACGTCTTTTTAAAGACGGTTCGCCCGTGTTCTTCTGGGTGCGGTCGATTTCTGTCGTCATCTGATGGTCGCGATCGCTGCTCTGTATGCCTGGGCATTCAGCATACAGCAGCAGCGTTCGTGGATGGCTCATGTTCCTGCTATGGGGACATGACCATCTCCACACTGAGGTTAAAAAATATATATATATATATATATATAATATATATAAAAAAAAAAAAAAATCTCACTAGAGTGAGAGCCCCGGTCCCCCTTACTCGATCGGCTTCCTTCACGAAAGGGGGCCCGTCGTCTGGGGACCCGGCGAATTAACGGTGACGGTGTGGCATAAAGCCCGACGATTTCTCGGGCCACACCTCCCGCCTCAGTGCGTGAGCCAGCGAGCGTTAGTTCGATTCAGTCGGCTGCCTCTTCAGTGGTACCGGCTGCTTCGAGCAGCGCTCCAGATGATGATGTGATGTCGATCGCAGCATCACTAGGCGGGCTACAGTCCTCGGGAGATGAGGATGCGGCTGCGCTGCCCCCTTCGGGAGAGCCAGCGCTGCCGTGTCGGATCCCGAGCTGACGGCATGCTGTCTCGAGCCGCTGGGAGTATTGGGTTAGAGTGGCATCCTCCATTCTCCCCCGATCTCTCACGGAGGGATAATTGGTTTTTGGACAAAGCTGCCGCCGCGAGGCCACGGCCAACTCCATTGCCTTTTTTCCCCGAGCTGCATGCGGAGTTATCGCGCTCTTGGGGGACTCCTCTGTCCACTCGAGAGCGCGATCTCTCCCCCGCCTTTCCCCCCTCGATGGGGGGGCCGCCCGTGGGTGCACTGGGATGCCCCCGCTGGAGCGCTCTGTGCGATACAGCTGTGTCCGCGGAGCGCCTCCTCCGTGGTCCTCCTAGGCACCCATCCAAAGCCTGTAGGTTCTCGTCTGCCATGGCGGCGCGTTCCTATAGAGCGGCGGGACGGGCGGCCTCCGCTTTGCATGCGATGAGCACTGTGCAAGCGCAGATGCTCAGAGATATGCTCGAGGGCGGGACTGACCCAACGGCATTCGAAGATTTGCGGTCCGCCACTGACCTTGCTCTCCAAAA